TAGTGATTTTTTATAGGGTTTAGGGTTTTTATGTTTGAATGGTTATGACTAGTGATTTTTTATAGGGTTTAGGGTTTTTATGTTTGAGTGGTTATGACTAGTGATTTTTTATAGGGTTTAGGGTTTTTATGTTTGAGTGGTTATGACTAGTGATTTTTTACAAGGTTTAGGGTTTTTATGTTTGAGTGGTTGTGACTAGTGATTGGGCTTCACATGCGATGCGTTGACGTGTCGGCGGCCGCCAACTTGTTCTGCATATCAATTGAATTGATATCAATTCATGTGAATGCATGGAGTTAGTTGAAAGGACATGTTTTAGGGTTTTTAAGGTTTAGCTGTCTTGAAACATGAATTAGTTGAATGCAAGGGATTAGTTGAAAGGACATATTTTAGGGTTTTTAGGGTTTAGCTGTCCTGAAACATGAATTAGTTGAATGCAAAGGATTAGTTGAAAGGTCATGTCGAAGACTCTTAAGTGCTTTGTGTTGAAGGACGACATGACATTCTCTCGCGCATATAACAACGCAACAATTGTCAGTGTACACCATTATGATTAGAAGAGTGTAATTAAAAGATTATGATAAAAGGTTATGATTGAAAAGGTATAATTAAAAGATTATGAGAAAAGGTTATGATTGAAAATGTATAATTAAAAGATTGTGATAAAGATTATGATTAAAAGAGTGAAATTAAAAGAATATGATAAAAGATTGGTGAGTGGCATTTGGGCTGCACTTGAGTATGTCCATAGTTCGGTACAACACCCACAACTGAGCCTCACACCATGAACACCTTTTTGCGTATAGCCGATCTGTATACAAAGCTCATGCTTTCAGATGAGATCGCACAAACATACAGGTTAGGGTTTTAGGGTTTAAGGGTCCCAGTATCTGTCACTGATTGGCAATAGGACTGTTGCATGTGTAGTGATATAAGCCACATACTCGCAGTTGTGCACGTGTGTTGTTGCCTGTCTCAGGTGTTGTTGATTCTTCTTGCAGCATGTCTTCGATGCTCTGCGCGAGATCGTCCAGGCTTTCTTCGTCGTCATCGGATCTGCCAACACCAGACGAAACAAACCGACTGAGTTCAGATGTCAAAGGCAGCACTTCAGGGTTTTAGGGTTTACTAATCGTAAAAGGTGAGCAAGACGTTGCAACAAATAGCACCACAACATGATCTCAGTGAGGGTGAACGCAGGCACATATGCAACTAAGTTAACGCAGGTACACATATAACTAAGTAAACGCAGGTACACATGAGACAATCCAAACACACAACACATGTGAGCCACATAGCCAATGGTTTCCCTCTGACCTCTCAGGTGTTGGTGTTGGTGTTGGTGGGTCTGTGCTGGCCGACAGGGCCACTCGCTGACTGTCGTAAGCGCTTTGGCAGCGATTGATGTACGCCTGACGATAGGCAACGCGCGACTGCTTTTGAGGCTGAGCGTGACAGGAGTTCGAATCCGTTGCGTTAACGGAATCATCTCCATCCACTGTGGCGTCTTGGTTTGCTAACATGCGCACTGTGTGATGCAGGAGTATTGAAGTTGTGTGGTGCCATACGTTTATTGTATTCAATTGTTGCGAGAGGTTAGAAGACACGTTGGGGGTTGGTTCAGCTCACAATGTTAAACGTCTTAGGATAGGCACACATAAAGAGAACTCCATCAGTCATATGAGTGTACACTCGCGTTGAAAACCAGTACTTTGACAACCAGTTTAGTTCGAATGGATTACACAGAAACAAAAAGCCAATGCCAAAGTCTATTGTCAGTCATTGCAACACTTACACATGTTTCTTCTAGGATTTCAGAGTTTTCACTTACACATTTTGCGTTTTTCTCGGAATGTTCGCGGGCATTGCTCGTCTGTGACACCGCGATCTCTCAGCAGTCGCTCGACTTCTCCATTTGTCTCTTTCCTAAAAAGGCAAAGAACGAGTGCACCCAATGGTGACTTAACAAATGAACATCATTTGTTACAAATGAAAACCCTAAAACCTTATCAATTCAATTACATTCCACTGACTTAAGAAGTGAATATCATTTGTTAAACATCAATATCAATTCATTTGATATTCGAAAAGCACATGTCAACAAAATCGCTAAACCCTAAAAACATAAGCCCTAAAACCGAAGAACATGCCAACAACACCGCATGCTGACGGCATATGGTACCGTACCACGTGCAACTGCTCTGAGTGATCATTGGCTGTGCCTCTTACCCAAGACTATTTGAAGTAAGATGTATGGGATAAGTACGGGATAAACTACCAAAGAAAAAACCCTAAAACCATCGGAGGAAAACCCCCTAAAACCATCGGAGGAAAACCCCCTAAAACCATCTGAAGACAAACCCCTAAACCATCTAAGGATAAACTATAAAACCATCTGAGGAAACCTCTAAAACCATCTGAGGATAAACCCCAAAACTATCGAGGGAGACGTTCTCTGATACACCCCCTACGCCAAGGAATATTGTCGCACATATACAATATATAACACATTTAACATTTACTGTCTATCATACACCTTAGGTCTGCCTTAGTATAACACTTAATGCCTATGACACCATAGGTCTGCCTTGGCATAACACTTACTGCCTATTACACACCTTAAGTCTGCCTTGGTATAACACTTAATGCCTATTACTCACCTTAGGTTTGCCTTGGTATAACACTTAATGCCTATGACACATCTTAGGTCTGCCTTGGTATAGCACTTAATGCCTATTCCACACCTTAGGTCTGCCTTGGTATAACACTTAATGCCTATTACACACCATAGATCTGCCTTGATATAACACTTACTGCCTATTACACACCTTAGGTCTGCCTTGTGGTGTGTGCTGAGTTTGCATCGTCGCCGTCCCTTGCACTTGCCGATGGGTCTGATGGCGCGTCGCAGAAACGAATAGCCCTGGCCACAGCCAGTGGGATCACCAAAGCCACACACGGCCAACTGGCACCTGTCTATGCACCAGCACATTAAGTCAGAAAATAAATAATAGCCCTGACCACAGCCAGTGGGATCACCAAAGCCACACACGGCCAACTGGCACCTGTCTATGCACCAGCACATTAAGTCAGAAAATATATAAATAGCCCTGACCACAGCCGTACCATTCTGAGTCGGAGA